TATTTACTATGAGATATTTTTTCTTTAATTGCAGCTCCTTATTCATTTTTGGTAAGGTTTTCTTACGAGGGGAAGTACTCAGAGCAGAGTTAGTCTGCCTCTGGCCACAGGTGCAGCAGGAAACAGGCAAGGGTTTGGTCTCTCAGGATCAGGTGGGCGCCTGACAACCCGAGTGAGAACACACAGTGAAAGCACCCACTCTCAACTCAGGACAATGGAAACCTTCCTGACATGAAAATGTCAAGGAGTGGCCCGCTCTGTGCCCTCCCTGAAGGCCCGCATGAGCACTAACCAGGTATGTAGGGAGCCAGGGGGGCTTGTAAGTGGGAGGTCAAGGGGACAGGGGAGAAATCACCTAAATAGATGATATGACGTGAATGAGACTTTCTTTGTTGTAAACATTCAGTGAGGATTTCTGATAGAGAAATAGTGTAGCAAACAGATGAAGTCAGAATTTTAAACTGTGTGAGGCACACCCAAGGGCTAATCCTCGTCTTAAAGGGGGTGGGGGTGGGGAGAAAATGTCACGTCTGGGAAGGGGAAGGGGTGGTTAAAAGTTTAGTTCAGAATAAACAAGACAGCACAGGAAACCCTTCCAGTAATGGCGGACAGGAGAACGTGCATTCCACGAGGCTCGGCCACCTCTGCACATGAGGCTGCAGATGCAGCGGGGTCAGTGGCCTAGGTTGTGAGAGCCAGAAACCCAGCCCTGAAGGATCCTGTGATTATAGAGCTGCTCTGAACTCTGTCTCTTGCTCAGTTGGGTTCAGTCCTGGGAGAATGAAAGCAATCTGAGCAATTCTAAAAATGTCACCATTAGAAATGGTCTAAATCCTGAGAGTCTGAGAATGATTCCAACTCACTTTTTCCATAAAACAAAGTGCAGGGCAGAGTCTGTTTATTCTCTGACCCACAGATGCATGACCACTTCGCTGTGTTTGACATAATCCACTGTTGAGTGCAAAGGATGATCGCAGTGCTAAATAGCATTTAGAAGAGAAAAAGCCCAACAGCTAAGAATGTGGAGCAAGCCGGCTGCTGGATTATTAATGAGATGATTAGTGTTTCCATCTAGAGAACCAAATAGACGGTCTTTAAAATTTTTATAGGATTTTGAGTCTTGAGTCTTTTTAGGATTTTGAGTCTTGAGTCTTGAGTCTTTTTAAAAATGACTATCTTTCGACTTTCTGAGATTCAGATTCTCTGTAATGCGTTTTGAACAACTCTGACATTTCGTTTTGAAGATGAACTGTTTGACTAGTTAGAGAGATTGATAAGCTGTGCATCCCTCTTTCCCCCTTTTGTGATAAGGATGAGGAAGATGGCTGAGGACATGCATTCACAGCACCGCACACTGGGCACTGTGCCCACACCAGTGTGAGGATCGTGTCCACTGAGCCCAAGAACAGAGATGGTTCGAGGCCGTGGGAGGGAGGTGCTGGGGAGACAGTGGGTAGGTTCTCCCCAACCTGTCTGCTCCTTTCTCAAGTATGCACCCCATCTCCCACAGACTGCGTCACCTTTCCTGAGTGACTCCTGGGCATGTGTCCCACACTCTGTACAACTCTCTCATTTAAGAGGAATCACATTAACGTGATCCTTGATGGTTTTAAAAAAAACAGCCCTCAGCAGACAGTTCAAACAGGATACTGTGCAAAGTTGAAAAAAGTAGTGAAATAAAAATCTTAGGAAATTTCCTAGAAGGTAGCCGAATGAGAAACAAAAGGAAATGTGGAGAAGTACGGGCTCTGACTGACAGAAGGCAGTGCTCGAGCACACACGGATTCCGAGTTCCAGGGTGGGGGCTGCAGGGGGCCCGCGAGGAGCCGTGGGCCCTGATGAAGGCCGAGGATGCAGATTCAGCAAACACAGGATGTCAGAGACAAAGAAGAGGCTGTATCCCGTCACCACGTTGGAAGCTGAGCAAATGCCCCCCGAGCCACAGCCATGTGAAGAGAAAACTTCCTGGCATCGCCACTAGAAACCACAGACAGTGGAAACAGGCTCAAGTTTAGAGAAAATAACCCATTTTAAAATAACTTGAAACAGACTGGCCACCCACAGGTCTTGACTTCCAGTTAGAGTCCTTGAGGCGAGAGGATGCTGACTCTGTAAGAGCATCAAATGCAGGAGTCCTGATGAGGACAGGAGGCTGCAAACTTCTCCACGTGGAGCGACCCTAGAACTCACGACTTGTGTGGGGTGAGAGTGGCCTCACACACACAGCAGCAGCAGGGAAGTTACAAGGACAGAGTTACAAGGTCTTTACATCCTTCCAGAAGGACTGAAAGACATATGTTTCTATGTTGTAAACAAAGTAGATATATGGAAAAAAATCAAGTGCAAGCTCTAAATAAATGTAAATGAAGTGTATACATTTCAAATGTGCAAAGAATTTTAGAAAAAAGACACATGAAAAACTTAACCAAAATAATATAAAGATCAAGAAAAAGAGAAGGAGTATAGTAAAAAGGGACCAATAAAAATTCAAAGTCCGTGATCAGAAACAAGCTAGAATACACATCAGTCATCACCACACACTCCACCAAGGGGCACAGACTGTCAGATTGGAGTGTAAGAAATAAGCAAGCACAAAAATGCAAATAAAATGAAAGGAATAAGGGAACAAAAATGAGTAGAAACTGTGGTATGTGGATCCATGGAGCCAAAAGGTGGTAAAATGAACAATCTTCTGTTGAAATTAATCAAAAAGGAAAAAAAAATAAACCCAATTGAAAAATATTAAAGAAGGCCTAAGATTCTTTCAGCAATAGGAAAGATGACCCCCACTATAGATCTAAATTTCATACAGTTACAATAAAAATCCCAAGGCTTCTGTGGAATCTGATCAGAGGTTTTAAAATCCACAAGAAAAACAGGGAGAGAGGACGGGAACAACAGAGTGAACTAAAGGGAGGGAAGGCTTTGGCCTGCAGATAAAAGTGTATTGTAAACATGCAGCGACTAATGTGGTACTGGCTTCGACACTGACAAAGAGCGTACAAGCGGGGCTCAGTGGTAAACCTGCAGCCGGGACACGTGGCCGAGGATCCAGGTGGCACCACGGCCCCCGAAGAAACAGGTCACGACAAGTGATTATACAAGAAAACAAATCTGATCCCTATTTTTCACATGTTTTACAAAAATAAATCTCATATGCTTTAGAGATACGAAGCGGAAAGCAAACAAGAAAATATTTAGAAGAAAATACAAGCAAGTTATCTTTTATGAATGAAGGATAAGAAAAGTTTCCCTGAACTGGATTCTAAACCCACACAGGAAGACGTGGATGTGTTCAGCTGTGCTGAAATTAACTTCTATTTACCAGAAGATAGTGTAAGTACAACAAAAACACTAGCTGTAAACTGTGAGAGGTCTGTGACCGACAATCAGCAGAGTATTAGCCGCAAGCATATGTGGAGAATCCTGATGGGTCGGAGAGGGAAAGACAGACAACCTCATGTCCACATGCAAGCGTGGTGGACGGCATTTCACCGAAGACGAGAAACCAAAGGTAAACACAGAGGAGGAAGCAAAGAGACCGCCTCTGTGATGGCGGAAATGAAAATAAATCCCCAGCAAAACAGCCATTTTACACACACTGTATTTCAAAGAATTAAGCCCCAAAAGATACCTAGCAGTGCGGGAGCCACGGGCTAGCAGGGACTCCCCAGTGCTGCTGGGAGGGGGAGCAGGGGCACGCGTGCACGCTTGCACGCGTGTGGAGGGAAGGCAGCGTTTACTTTGGAAACCAAACACTGGCATACTCGACCTCTGTCTGTGGCAGCCCGATTTCAACAACACACTGAGAAAAGCCCACAGAACAAGTCAAATGTCCATTGCTGATCAATAATCGATAAATAAATTGTAGTATATTCAGAGAATTAACACCACATAGCAACGAGCAAACAAAACACTAGACCCATATGCCACGACATTTGTGGATCTTACAAACGTAACGGTAATTAAAAGTGTAAATCCCAGAACGTTATAACAGAGTAAAATTTTGTAAGGCTCAAAATGAAATGGCATCTTTTTAGGGATATACGTATATACATATACACAGACAAAAACATATACATATATATACACACACACAGATAAAGCTATCTTCTGTTAAGGGGATGACAACACAAGATTCAGGATGCTGTTTATTTCTGGGTGGGCCAGAAAATGGTACAGAGATGTGACACATAGATTAAAAAGCTAGTGACAATATTCTAATTATTTATCTGAGTTGAGTTTGTGGCCTTTTGTGTATTTTGCTTCACAGCTCACAAAGATCCTAAATGCAATCTTTAAATATCAAGAGCTACATTAAAAGGTTAAAATGAAAAACAATGCTATTTTCAGAATGTTATGTCTGAACACAGACCTTGATCTCAGGTTCCACTGCAGGCCCAGATCCGGTGGTGTTAGGAGTGTAACTAGGTATGATTTCCGAGAAAACATTCTCAGACTGTTTACGGGATTCTGATTTGCGTCCACTGATGACCGTGGACGAGGAGCCCGCGTCCTGGAAGGAGGCTGCGGCAGGCCCTCTGTGCGGGTAGCGGGGTTGAGCCCCTGAGGGGGGAGGCCCTGTGGCCAGGCCACTGCCCTGCTCTGGCCCAGCTGCGCGGTTCTCTGGGCATGGAGGGGACTTGGAGCATGATGAACACTCAATGTGAGTACATAGTATCGTGCCTGCTTGTGGGGGCTTCTACTGATGCAGAAATAAACCCTGTGCCGTGTCCCCATCAAGGGCGCCTGAAAACAAGGTCAGCCTTCGGGCAAACCAGAGCAGGACTGTGAGGTCTGCCTCAGAGCTGAGCGTGCCCACCTGCTTGCTGAGATATAATGAATCATGAGTACAACACACTACAATGTGGTGCCGAGGCCTCCCCCATCCTGTCCCACGTCTGTCCTCTGCATCTGTCACCGCGCGTGACCTCTCCATCCTGGGGCGTCTGTGCTGACTGATACCCCCGCTAAGTTAGAGGAAGAGAAGCCGTGCTTACTGTGCTGGTGGGGTTGCCATTCAAATGCAAGCCGCTGTCAAACAGTGGAGAGCAGGCCCGGCTGCCGTGGTCGCTGGCTGGCCCTGGGGACCCTGCGAATAAGCAGAGACGTTCACTCAGACAGAGCATGGGGAGCCTTGGACTAGAGCGCCTGCCATTTCCCGAAGCATCAGGCAGGCACCCAGGACCCCACACCCACCCCTCACGCGGAGTGTGCCCTTGGGCCCTGTGGCCTCCCCCCCACCAATCCGGCCTCACACAGAAAATGGGGCAGACAGCGAATGACTGGCCACCTGACCGGAGGCTGCAGTGCCGGGGTCCAGAGCCTGCATCCACAGGGCACGGGGGACTGTCAGCGTAGGTACTGGGGACTCTATCCTGTCCTTTCCAGCACTAGCATCACGTCGGCTGATTTTTTAAACACTAGTCCTGATTTTCTATTCTTAATCTTCAAATTCTTACTTCTTTGACATTTTCTGACTATGTTGGCACTGCAAAGTGCTTTAGTAGAAGACACAAAGGTGAAATGGATAGATTTGTGGACAGTGGTATTTAAAAACAAACACCTTGTGATCGGGCCAGGAGCAGAGGGCCAGGACCGGGAAATGCCGGCACCTCACCTGCGGTCAGCCAGTCACCACTCTGAGCTAAGGGTTTCTCTTCTCAGTCACCTCCACCCGCCCCTCTGAACGAGGTCCCCCAGCTGGGGAGCCACGGGCACCTGCAGCAGCTGTAAGGCAATGAATCCCATTCAGTGGAGTCACCCAACTGGCAAGGGGAAGCTGACTCTGATCTGTAAATCTGTTTGTTTACTGTGAGAGGGGAAGGAGAGAGACAGGAGGTGGGGAGGGGCAGAGGGAGAGAATCTCAAGCAGACTCCGCCTGCAGTACAAAGCCCGATGCGGGACTCGATCTCAGGACCCCAAGATCATGACCTGAACTAAAACCAAGAGTCAGAAGCTTAACCGATGGAGCCACCTGGCACCTCTACAAATCTGTTTTGTGTGAGAAAAGCTAAGGCATTGCATTAAAAATCCAGATTTCTGACTTTCCACAAGCCTTGCTGACTGCAGACAGAAATGTGTGCTGGGTGACACGGAGCTTGGCAGCCAGCCTTCCCTGCCTCCAATCCTGCCCCGTCACTGTGTGACACATGGGGCACCCGCTGATACACCCCTGTGGCATCCCTCTCCCGTCTATATAAAATCTGTGAGGACCTCACATTCCCACTGAACACCATGTTTCTTTTTTTAATAATTTTTTATTGTTATGTTAATCACCATACATTACATCATTAGTTTTTGATGTAGTGTTGATGATTCATTGTTTGTGCATAACACCCAGTGCTCCACACAGAATGTGCCCTCTTTAATACCCATCACCAGGCTAACCCATCCCCCCAACCCCCTCCCCTCTAGAACCCTCAGTTTGTTTTTCAGAGTCCATCGTCTCTAATGGTTCGTCTCCCCCTCCGAC